TTGGGGATACGATTAGTTTGAATGAGTGAGATCTAATCAGATGATTTGCTACCACTTCTGTGTATCAGATGTTCCCTGTTTAGGAATGACTTCCAGGACCCAGGACTACTCCCATTGTCCACTTCCTGACTCACCCAGGGGCATGGTGACAGGGGTGTGTCTCTGCGTGTATGTAGAGGAACATGAACAGTAGAGGGGAACCCCAGATCTGTAGCATGTGGAGTTCAAAGCTACTCTGGAGACTTCTCCCAATTATCTGACATGTAAAATTGTTAGCAGAGTCGATTCTCATCAGCAAACATCTTTCTTGTCAGGAGCATGCTTAATGTGGCCTATATACTTTTAAGCACATCATGCATTGTTTTCTTTTTCAATGGCAGTTCCAAAAAATACAATTCACTGTAGCTGTTGTATCTTTAGGGCAGAAATCAATAGTAGTGCTGTATCTAATGAGTATATCTATGCATGAAGTGGCATATTCTACACATTCCAACTATCGATAATGAAACATTTTTATCAACCTTGCTAGGGGAAAGGCTGAATTATCTTTTATAAAATCGTAGCCAGATGAAGAGTCAATCAGAGCCCCAAAGTACAGGATAAAAGTATTGTGGACGTATATTGGTTGATAAAAACATGAAATGATTTTTCTGTATTGTTTACTGTTTTTGCGGTACTTTCCAGCTCTTCATTATTTGTAATTTGCCGTGAAGTCTTTACATTCTGAACATCAGTTTTATACCTAATTTCGTATTTGTAATTGTATATCCTTCTTTTCTTAAGAAAAATACTCCAGATTGTATAAGATTTAGGCCCACAAAACCTGAATCGATTCTTGACAGAGTAATTAAGTAACAGCTGAAATCACAGCCACTAAATGGCCAAGCCGGGATTTGAAGCCGGAATTCAAACGTGGGCCTCAAAAGGGCGTCTTGGACTCTAATCTGTGCCCCTGGAGTCAGGATGTTGTTAAAGTTCAGACTCTGACTCAGTAGATGTGGGCTGGTGCTCAGGTGCTGTGAAGCTGCTACTCTGTGGGCCACACTCCTAGGAGCCGGGGTCTCTCAGCTAATGCGCTCTGTGGCCAGTTCTCAGACAGTGCAAGGAACCATTGCCATTCAGGGAGGTTGTGGGACTTGCCCAGAGTAGCAGAGTCAGAGACTCACAGCTCCATCGCGCGCCTTACATGGTGGCAGGTGGGCTAAGTGGGGAATCCCAGGAGTCAGCTCTGGGTCCCCAAGAGGAATGTCCCTTCCAGCCCCCTACACCTCAGGTGGGAGCTGCCTGTCCCCTGTTCCCTGGGATTGGCCTGAGATGCTGCAATCAGTCTCCAGGCCTGCAAGGTGAGCAGGAGAGCACCGGCGTTTCCAGTGTGACAGACGTACCTGGCTGACCTCTACTTCTCTGGCTTTCTCCACCTTGGTGACAGTGCTGCTCAGCCCCGCTAAGCATCAGTTTCCCAGTGCGTGAAACGAGCTTAATATGACCCACCTCATCGAGTTATTCATGGATTAAATGAGTTATTCATGGATAATATGACAAGTTACACGATCCGACTCTGCGTGCATTGGCCCACAGCACCCATGGAACTGGTGATTGTTGTTCCTGGGCTAAACTGACCTTGGGAATCAAGTGACTGCTTCTTGCAGCATGTACTCTCAGCTTCCTTTTTTCTCAATGTGTGTGAAGAAGAGACTGTGTTAGAATAGAAGGACATCGGCAAACATCTCACACCCTGCAGAGGGCTGAACAGAGGCTAAGGGCTTGATGGCAGCTAACTGTTCCCTGACAGATGTCAGCTTTGCCTGTCTGTCTCTCTTAACGTGTTTGCAGCTGTGCAGCAGGCTGACAGCCTCTGGCATTCTCTTTCTGCCTGGGTCCTCCCAAATGCACCCAAAATCCCAGCCATGCTGCTTGATCACCACAGGCCTGCCTGATGACAACAGGCTGTGGTGATTTTATTTGTCATCTTTAGAGCATGTGTAGCAGTATTTCTTTCCCAGAGGCATCAGATGTTTGTCCTGCAGACATGTTTTCCAGGAGAAAAGGCTAATAGATGAGGGCAGGCTGTATTTCCTGGCTGTCCCAATCCTCTGGAGACTTCCTGGTCATTGGCATCCCCCAGAAGGACATGCACCACGGTGGCTGCAGACTCTAGGTGGTGCTGCCCCAAGCTCTGTAACCTAGAGCGTCCGACATCAGTTGCAGCCTGGCCTGGGTTTGGGTTATTTTAAGCTGCCCCTGCAATGCAGCTGCAAATCCAGAAAAAGAGGACTGAGGGGCCTGCTCATCAGGGAAGAGCTCGGTAAGCACACGTTGTCACTGGCTTAGAGAGCAGGAAGACAATGTAATTACAGTCATTCCAAGAGGTTCATTCTGCTGCATTGCCCATTTCAGGAGCACCCCTCCCATTCCTTTGGTGCCAATACTATTTTTTTTAAAACCTTCCTGGTAAATTTCAAAATGCCACTGGTAAAAGCAAACTGCCTCACTTAGCTCCTTGGTTGTTTGTTTAAAATTCAGTGTATCTCAGTAGAATTTTTTTATGGAAGGGATTGAAGCCCCTGACCCTGCCCTTTGGGGGAAGGGGATGTCCAAGAGTAGGGGGAGGAGCTTTCACCTTCAACCCAAGGACCTCAGCTGCATTCCACATGAAGCATTAGCTTTAGGACAGCATGAGCACAGACCAAACCCTGAGAATGCAGTTTGCCCACTCATCTATTTATTAATTTGGTGTGTGAATTAACAGGCTTTGTCCAGAAAGAGGAAGTGGTGAAGCTGTGAAATTGCTTTCCTTGGAAAGCTTTGTTTAGTGGACCCGTATTAGTCCTGAATGGCAGGCAGAATCCTGGGTTCACAAGTGTTAATTTTCTAACTCTGAAGCTCCTTCTATTGCCATTTCCATCTGTCTAACTTTTCAGATTCCTAAGTATTTTTCTGCTTCATTCATGTATGTATTCATCATCCATTCAGTGAGCTTTCATTAAATGTGAACTGTGTGCCAGGATTGCACTGGACATGGGGGCCACTGTCCCTGCCCTTGAGCTTCCAAGACCGTGATGGGCGGATGAGCAGGGGTCAGTGGGCAGACACCGAGGTCAGTGCCGCTGGTAGCCCACATGTCTGGGGCATGTGGAGCTGTGGAGCATTCACCTACTGGGTCTAGGGGCTGGCGAGGCTTTTTGGAGTTGTCCTAGAGAAACAAGTTGGCAATGATTAGGGAGGAAGTTTAGTGAAAGAAAGAGAAAGACATTTCGAGGGAAATTGGGAAAATGTGGCCAAAGGGTGTACATGTAACCCTCTCTCCAGTCCGCCACAGCTTTTAGTAAGAGATCAGTTTCCCGAGAGTGTACTGTGGGCTGGGAGCTCTGTGGAGGATGTGCCAGGCATGGCTCGGGTGCTCCTGAGGCTGCTGCCCCCACGTGACATGGAGAAGGCTGTTTGCAGAACAGCCACAGGTAGCAGCACAAAGAACAAGCGTGAATGGGAAACAGATCCCAGGAGCTCTGCCTCCCTCTCATGTGTCCATTCGCTTCTCAATAGTTACCGAATACCTGCTGCACGCACCGTCCTGGGGACTGGGAAAACAGGGAAAACCGCCGCGTCTTGGCCCTTTTGGACCTTTACATAATGATCAGCAAATAGATGAATCTGTGGTATGTCAGACCGTGATGGAGGAAGACAGCTGTGGAGAAAGACAAAGGAAGGAAATAAGATAGAGCCTGCAAGGCTAAGGTGAGGGTGGGAGGTGCCACGCTGACAGGTGACATTCAAACAAATCCTTGAGGGAGTGGCCATGTGGGTACCTGAAGTAAGGATGGTCCAGGCAGAGCAAACAAGCGGGAAAGCCCTGAGGCAGCAGTGGGCTTGTTGTGTTCAGGGAAAGGCAAGGAAAGGAAGGCAGAAGCAGAGTAGTGGGAGGGAGCAGGTCAGAGAGGAGGAGAGGGAGCTGGGGCCAGTGCATGGAGGGCCGGGAGGCTCTATCTCGGGTAACTTTAGAAGCTAGTGGAGGCTGCGGACTGGGGAATGGCAGATGTGACCCCTGTTTCAATGTGAACACCCACTATCAGGTCGGCGTGGGCCCAGGCTTAGAGCAGCGAACTGGTGCCTAACAAAAACAAAAAACAAAAAAACAAAATAACAGTCTCCAGAAACCAATTAAGCAAAAATATTTATAGAACATCCAGTACATGAAGGACATATTCCTGGGTAGTTGGTTCCTCTCCTGAAGGAGCGAGCTTTCCGGATGAGTTGAAAACATGTGCATGCGCGGGAGGTGACGGCTCACTGCAGGGCAGGGTGTCATCCGTGTTGAAGGAGTGCCAGTGTTTCAGAAATGGATGCAGAGCAGGTCCATTTGATGGACGGGTAAGCGGAGCACTCTCTGTGTGCCCGCACTGTTTTAAGTGCCCAGGGTCTTCTGGGGATGAGATTTGTGTTTTTCACTCGTGTGTGGGACAGTTGAGGATCATGCTAGGCAGAGGTGAGCCCTTTCCTGGAAGGAGTTAATCTAAAAAGCATAATCTGCCTCATTTGGGAGGAGCTTAATAAATATCTCTTCAAATGAAGCAGTGGTCAATCAGAAAATTTATATTTTAGCTATAAAATTACCTATCACAGTTTACCATGGGGCATAATCTTAGTCAAGCACCCAAATTAATGATTTCAGACCACAGATAACTGAAAACACCAAAGTGATAAGGTGGCAGGTATTTCAGTTAGCTACTGCTGCATAACAAATGACCCCAAAGCTTAGTGACTTAAAACAATGATTTGTTATTGCTTATCATTCTGTCAGCTGGGAGTTTCTTCTGCTGGCCTCACTTGGGCTCATGCACAAGGCTACATTTAGCTAGGGTGTCAGCTTGCGGATGGGCATAGCTGGGATGCTGGGTTACCTGAGTCTTTCTCTGCATGTGGTATTGTTTTAAAATACAGGTTTTAGCCTGCCTCAGGATATAGAGTGTAACAAGGGGACTGGGGTGAGCAGCGTGGACCTGTGAGGCCTGTAGGTGCCCGCATCCTCCAGATCCCCCCCGCAGCCGACTCCGCAGTGGTCCGCTCCGGTTGCCTGGTGCAGATTTGCGTTCCAAACGGAAGGCTGCGGATTCTCTGCCTGTTATTGTGGCCCCGACAGGCTATGGTTACTTTGGCCACCGCCAGAGCAGCCTTGGCACTATGGAGGAGCCCGGGGCTACCCCTCAGCCTTACTGGGGGCTGCTCCTGGAGGAGCCACGCAGGGTTGTGGCAGCACTGCCTGAAGGCAGGAGACCAGATTCAACTCCTTATGGTTTTCCATGGGAATTGGTGATATGTGCAGCTGTCGTTGGATTTTTTGCTGTTCCCTTTTTCTTGTGGAGAAGTTTTAGATCGGTTAGGAGTCGGCTTTATGCGGGAAGAGAGAAAAACCTTGCTGACGCGCTTTCTGGACTAATTGAAGAAAAATGTAGATTACTTGAAAAGTTTAGCCTTGTTCAAAAAGAGTATGAAGCCTATGAAGTAGAGTCATCTTTAGAGGATGCCAGCTCTGAGAAGGAGGCAACAGAAGAACAAAATTTGGAGGCAACCTGTGAAAAGCTGAACAGGTCCAATTCTGAACTTGAGCAAGAAATACTCTGTCTAGAAAAAGAGTTAAAAGAAGAGAAATCTAAACATTCTGAACAAGATGAATTGATGGCGGATATTTCCAAAAGGATACAGTCTCTAGAAGATGAGTCAAAATTCCTCAAATCCCAAGTAGCTGAAGCCAAAATGACCTTGAAGAGATTTCAAATGAATGAAGAACGACTGAAGATAGCAATACAAGATGCTTTGAATGAAAATTGTCAACTTCAGGAAAGCCAGAAACAGCTTTTGCAAGAAGCTGAAGTATGGAAAGAACAAGTGAGTGAACTTAATAAACAGAAAATAACATTTGAAGACTCCAAAGTACATGCAGAACAAGTTCTAAATGATAAAGAAAATCACATCGAGACTCTAACTGAACACTTGCTACAGATCAAAGATTGGGCTGCTATGCTGGAAGAAGACATAACAGATGATGGTAACTTGGAATTCGAAATGAACAGTGAATCAGAAGATGGTGCTTACTTAGATAATCCTCCGAAAGGAGCTTTGAAGAAACTGATTCATGCAGCTAAGTTAAATACTTCGTTAACAACCTTAGAAGGAGAAAGAAACCAAATTTATATTCAGTTATCTGAAGTTGATGAAACCAAGAAGGAGCTCAGAGGGCATATTAAAAACCTTCAGACGGAACAAGCATCTTTGCAGTCGGAAAACACACACTTTGAAAGTGAGAATCAGAAACTTCAAGAGAAAGTTAAAGTAATGACTGAATATACGTCAAGAAAATGCAATGAAACTCTACAGGAAATTAATAGTAGAGGAAAATAACCAGTCAGAGAATGAGAAACTTTCTAAAGTAGACGAAACGATCAGCCATAGCAGTGGAGAGCTGGAGACCTGCAGAAAGCGAGCCAAAGATCTGGAAGAACAATTTGAGAGAGTTCTTCATTTTTATCAAGGGAAGATTATTTCCTATAAGAAAAAAGTAGATGGTAATTGTTTTGCAGCTTGGATTGCTGAAAGAAACCTCAATGATTTAAGGAAAGAAAATGCTCACAACAGACAAAAATTAGCTGAAACAGAGTTTAAAATGAAACTTTTAGAAAAAGATCCTTATGCACTTGATGTTCCAAATACAGCATTTGGCAGACAGCATTCCTCATATGGTCCCTCTCCACTGGGTCGGCCTTCATCTGAAATGAGAGCTTTTCTCTATCCTCCAGCTTTGTCGGAGGGTCCACGGAGACTCTCACCTTCGCTTCCAGTGGGAGGAGGAAGAGGCCCAAGAGGCCCAGGGAATCCTCTGGACCATCAGATTACCAATGAAAGAGGAGAATCAAGCTGTGAGAGGTTAACCAGTCCTCATAGGGCTCCTTCTGACACTGGGTGCCTGTCGCCTCCGTGGGAACAGGACCGTAGGATGATGTTTCCTCCACCAGGACAATCATATCCTGATTCAGCTCTTCCTCCACAAAGGCAAGACACATTTTATTCTAATTCTGCTAGACGCTCTGGACCAGCAGAACTCGGAAGTTTTAATATGCCTTCTTCGGATAAAATGGATGGGTCAATGCCTTCAGAAAGGGAATCCAGTAGAAATGATACCAAAGATAATCTTGGTAATTTAAATGTGCCTGATTCATCTCTCCCCGCTGAAAATGAAGCAACTGGCCCGGGCTTTGTTCCTCCAGCTCTCGCTCCAATCAGAGGTCCATTGTTGCCAGTGGATATGAGGGGCCCATTCATGAGAAGAGGACCTCCTTTCCCTCCACCTCCTCCAGGAACCATGTTTGAAGCTTCTCCAGATTATTTTCCACCAAGGGATGTCCCAGGTCCACCACGTGCTCCATTTGCAATGAGAAATGTCTATCCACCGAGGGGTTTTCCTCCTTACCTTCCCCCAAGACCTGGATTTTGCCCCCCCACCCCCACATTCTGAAGATAGAGCAAGTTCCCTTCAGGGTTGAGTCTGCCTTCAAATGAGCCTGCTACTGAAAATCCAGAACCACGGCAAGAAAACTGACAATATTTTTGCTCTCTTCAAAAGTCATTTTGACTGTTCTCATTTTCAGTTGAAGTAACTGCTGTTACTTCAATGATTACACTTTGCTCAAATTGAAACTTAATGGAATTATAATTCTCAGGATAGTAGTTTGTAAATAAGGATGATTTAAATATGAATCTTATGAGTAAATTATTTCCATTTTATTTTATTCTAGATAGTATAACTATTTTAACTTGATTAATCCACTATTATCTAAACAATAGTGGGAGTTTTATATATGTAATCTTGCAGGTGGGGAGGTTTTAAATTCTAAAGGCTTTGTCCTTATTGCAAGAACTGTATTTACTGTAGTTGTAGACAAATGTGAAAGTAACTTTATGCTTAATTAAATAAATTTTAGTTGATTTAAAAATATATATGGGTTGCATTATTCTTCAGGTATGGAGAGACCGACAGATCAAGAGTTGATTGCCACTGAAAAGATTGGTTGTTACTCACAGATCCCAAGAGAAGGGAAAGTGCTGTGCCATGCAGCACCAAATAGGGAGGCACTATGGTCAGCAAGAAGGCAGGAGTGATGGAAAAACATGGGCAGAGCCTTTATGGTGGTTTCCACGGGAAGGAGTGAGTGAGGCAAAGTGAACAGGGTTAAGGTTAGCTATTATAGTTTGAGTAATTTCAGCAGGCTCTGGGTATAGGGGCTGTCCCTAGTTGTCTGATACCTGGCCCTGGGGTGCTTGGGGCAGAGGAACAGTGGCCTAGAGTGTGTGAGTCCTGTGGAAGGCTGATGAAGTAGGTAGCTGGGGGCATGAGCTCTGGACTGGTTAGTTTGTGTTTGAAAAGCACGCTCATGGGCAGGTTTACTGTCTGTAGGAATTGGCTAACCCTGAGAGGGACAGACCTGCCAAGGTCACCAAGACCCTAGATGTTAAAGCGTCAGAATACATAAAAAGACATGGTTAATATGGTATCAGAGCCTCTGTCTTCACGTGGCCTCTCATGAAGGGCTCTAGAGTGAGCTCCCTTAAGGGATGTCAAAGGCTGTTCAAGACAGCAGAAGCCACAAGGCCACGTAAAGCCTCAGCTTGGAAGTTACGCAACAGCACTTCTGCTGCATCCCTTGGGTCAAAGCAAGTCACAGATGCACCCCAGATCCCTGCTCACGTCGAGAGGAGAGAGGAACATTAACCGTGTGGGAGGGGAGGGTCATTACAGTTGTTTTTGCAAACAACCTGCTACAGAAAGTGTGGCTTCAGAGCACTGCGAAGGCCTTTCTGAACAGACCAGATCCAACAGGAAGAGCAGAAAGAAGCTGGGTTCCAGCTCGTTTGTCTTTGCTAGTGTGGAGTCAGGGTATAGCTTCCCTTTCACTGTTGGTCCCCAGCATCAAGGGTCAGTTGGGTGTTTGCCCGGGAGCCTGCAGGGACTGTTTGTACTTTTAGAGGAGGGTTGGCATGGCTTTGGGTTGCTGTCTCCGAAACTGCCCCAGGGTCTGGGATCCCGGGGAGTGCCTGCCTGGGCTGGCAGGGAGCCCAGGCCTGTTTGTAAACTGTTTGAATGCCTCAGGGTCAGGGTCTCTCATGGGCATATTATTTTCTTATCAGGAGTTAAAATAACTCTAGAACTTCTCCCATAGAAATGCAGATGCTTTATTATCATGAAAGTACCGTTTGTAAAGCATATGGAATTAGGCCAGTAACAACCAACATTTGCTCCACACTTTAGGGCCCATGAAGCACTTTCTCATATGTTCTTCCTTGTTCTTGCAGTCACCTGTGGTTAGGCCTCATTGTCCTAGTTTTTCATATGAGAACACTGAAGCTCTAGCGGGGCTCAAAATTGGCTTGGGGCCTTAGGAGTTGCCCTGGGCCCAAGGGTGGAGCTATGGGAGCCCTACAAAGCCTGCCCCATTTCATGCCATCGCTTCAGTGAATCCCTTCTCTCCCCCATACCTGCTCATTCTGTGTGGCTGCACTCATTAGATTATTTCACCCTTTGAATTAGATGCCTCAGGGAGTCCCCTGAGCGGGCTAAGTTAACCTTTGCAGGGGGTACTGACACCCCCAGGTACAGCCCAGCCCTGCATGCTGCTTTTTGCTCCAGGGACCCCAGCCTGGTCCACTATTTGCTGGGAGAAGATTTCAGTCCCTCCAGAACACACAGCCTTTGAGGAGCCACAGCTCCCAGAGCCCGAGCCCCAAGTCACCACTGGGTGCAGTGCACGCTCCTCTGCTCTGCAGTGGTGGAGCTTCATCCTGGTGAGTCATTAGTTCTGCGTCTACAGGTGTCTCAGTGAGACGCCTACCTGTCTGCTTCACAGCCCCAGGTGAAGCCGTCATTCTCAATCCGGCTGGGGAAGAAAAGGCGGCATCACAGCTGAGTTCCTCTCCAACATAGAACCACGGGGCATTGTCCTCAGACACACACTAATATGAACCCAGGCTAATGAGGCAGAACCTCTCAAAATAGCATTCTGTTTCTTTGGAAACCAAGGTGTAGTTTTTTAAATGCCACGTGGCCCTCGATCACATTTTGCATTTCCTAGCACTTATTCTACCATTTTTACAGGGACCTGTGGCAGGCAGAGGGGCTCGGGGCAGCTTCCCTGCAGGATTCCACTTCCTGCTTGGGTCGACCCCGCTGCTGCGAGGGAGGGCTTGCCCCTCGCCTCCCTGCTGTCTGGGTGTTTCCTTTGTGAAGGGAGGGACCTGGCCTGCTAGAAAACATCTCAAAGCCCTGTCACAGAGGAACTCCAGCTTCCCTTAGGATGCTCTGAAGAAGGTGCTTTCCAAATGAGAGGGCCTCAGGAGGGCAGTGGCACCTCCCTGACTGGGTGAGTCAGGTGCGGCTCTAGCCAAGGTGAGTGGGGCCTGCTGTGTCCGAGGTGGCGAAAGCAGGCACTGAGACTGCTCCGGAATCATGGCTCTCTGAGGTTGTTGCTCTGAAGTCCTGCCTCTGGGCCCTCGTCCAGTGTCGTGACAGCTCTTTTCTCTGGAAGAGGACAGTCTCTCTCCCTGCACGAACTGCTTTCAGCCTGACATTTCTTCTCCTGCTTAGGGCCGTTCTCTGTGGACTGCTTCGTGGTGTCTGCTGTTTTTCTTAGCTCAGTGCTTCTCAATGAGGGTGCTTTTGACCTCCCACGGGGGCATTTGGTAATGTCCAGAGATATTTTACACAGTAACTACTGGAGGTGTGCTACTGGCATCGAGTAGAGGCCAGGGATGCTGCTAAACACCCCACAACACGCAGGACAGATCCCCACACACCCCCACAGCAATTCTCTATTCCAAAATGTAGTACTAATTAGGTTAAGAAACCCTGCTAATGATGATGTTCCCCTACCTGGTAAATAAAATTCAAGGTCTCAGCCTCCAGATCAGTACAAAATGGATGTTTCTTGACTGAAATGCTTGGAGCCAGAAGTGTTTTAAATTTAGGATTTTGGAAAATTTTCATTATATTTACTGGTTGAGCGTTCCCAACCTGAAAATCTGAAATCAAAAATGCTCCAATGAGCATTTCCTTTGAGCATGACCTTTGAGCATCATGTTGATACTCAAAAAGTTGCAGAATTTGGAGTATTTCAGATTTTTGGATTGTTCAACCTGTACTTTTCACAGTATCTTGAAAACGGACCGTGCTTATCTTTCCTCTTTTGATCTAGAGCCTCCTTTTCCACGTCCATACCGTGAATTCCTATTCAAGCCCAGAGAAAAGTATTCATTACTGCTATGCATTAGCTACTGAAGGCCAGGTGATGTTTTCCCAGATCTAACTCCTCATGATCATGATCATCATCCTCATCAACAATTACCTTAGGGTCATCATAAGAATTGCATATAAGCCAGTCACCAAGCAGTCGTCAGTCATCTGCCTTTAGCCCAGTGCTACCTGAATTCAGTTTCTGTCATCATGTATTTCTTAATTTCAAAATAGGCAGCAGCATTAAATCTGGTCCATGGGCTCATTAACATCATCATCATCATCATCACCACCACCACCACCACCACCACCATCATTGTCATCATCATTGCAAACCAGGCAACAAGCAGTCATTAAGCTCATGCTGATTCTGATGCTGATGGTGAATGAGAAGCAGCGCTGCAGAAAACCACCTCATTCCTAGCGTCCCAGGGCCACAGGTGCTCTGTGTTAGGTTGAGTGTTCACTTGTCCAGTGTGAATGTATTTTTGTTAAGAGTTATTGGCATCTGAGTTTCTGGTGACCAGGTGCTTCTTTCTAAACACACACACACAAACACACACACGTGGAAGACTGTTGGAGAAACCCAAATGGTGTCATAGGAGGCAGGTGGGAGAAGACACTTTGGTTGCTCAACCAGGTATGATTCTGCCAGACAAAAGACCCTATAGGTTCTTTTTTCTGCCCCACCACTGCCTCATTATGGCTATGATAGGTTTATTGAAGCTAAAGCTTGGGCACTCTGGGGCAGCCTTTGCCCCACACCCACACGAATCTTTTTCCTTTTTCAATTGCCATTGAAGTCTGGAAATAGCACTCTGCCTTTTCCTCTGGCCCCATGGAAACTGGGACTTCTGGGTGTTTAACTTAGCATCTGACTCCATTAGATGCTCAGGGCTTCCTGCACTTACACCTAGAGATTGGGAAAAGGAGTGTTCTGGGGAAAGCAGGGGGGACCAGTTTGCTGTCTATTTGGTGGCTTTCCCTGTACAGTGGAGAGAGCAGCCAGAACCTGAATTGACAACTGAGACATTGTCATCTGATGTAGAGTCTCTCTTCCCTCCCTGACCTCGTTCCTGTACCGCCTCTCCCTCCCTCCCACTTCCAACAGTGCACTTAGGAATGAGTTATGAAGTGTCTTATTGGAAAGCAAGACTTGAATAGCAATGAAGGGCAGACACTATAGTTAGTTATTATTGATCATCTCTACCTGCACTTTCTATATTTGCAAGCACTTTTCGGGACTTAGTGAGTAATAAATAAAGTGTCTCTAGATCACCTTGCTGCTTCCCACTGCTGCTGCCTCGTGTATGCCGTTCTAGTTGTGTACCCACTGGATACACACACTAAGGAGGTGAGACCTTCGAAAGAAATGCAAAATATTTCCACAATTGTGTTGGTGTACAAACTGACCTGTCAAAACCAAAACTAAATTTAGCTAGATTATAATCAACACCCCCAGTGGATGTTATCGGTTCCTTGTCCAGGGCCCCTTTACCAGGCGGAGGCACTCATCTCCCAACTTTGAGTATTGCTCACAGCAGCTGCCTGCTTCCTGAAGAACTGCCCTTGGCAGAGCAGAAGCCACCATGCTAGGAAGTTATCCACTCCCTCGGCATCCCATAGCCAATAACTGATTGCCATCAGGGCTGTGTTCGTTATCTGTGTCTCAAAATAAATTACTCCAAAACTTAGTGCCTTAAACGGACAATGAATATTTGTTATTTCACAATCCTTGTGGGTCAGGGATTTGGGAGCAGCTTAGCAGAGTGGTTCCAGTTTGGGTTCCTCAGGAGGTTGCCCACAGACTGTCCATCAGGGCTGCAAGTGACCTGCAGGCTTGACTGAGGCAGGTGGCCCTGCCTCTGGGGTGGCTCACTGGCCTGACTGGCAAGGTGGGGCTGGGTGCTGGCAGAATGCTCAGTCCCTCTAACCATGGGACTCTCCCAAGTTCAGCTTCTAGAGTAGCTTATGATAATATACTTTCTCTAACACCTATATTCTAAAAGATATTTCATAAAATAACCTTCCTCTAATTTTGAAATCTGCAATATTTCAGCAGTTCGTTTTAGACGTTCAGAGGCTGAACATTTTAGATTCTGGTTCTGAAGGCATGTGGGTGCCCTCAGCGTCAATAGCAGCAGCTAATATTTCCCAAAGCTTTTCCATGCACCGGGCCATGAGAAGGGCAAAAAGTGTTGTGATTCTGTTGAAGCAATGCCCACTACCCCTTCAGTCCCAGCTTGAAAATGTAACAAGGCAACTGGGAAACTATCTTCAACATCAGTGCTTTTTTCATTTTGCTTCTCTTGATTTTTACATCTTATAAAACTGAGACTCCACCTATATTTGTTCTTTCATCCAATGCACATTGGCTTCTGACCTCACCCCTGAAACGGCTTTTCCAGAGGTCTGCAGTAACCTCCTGAGACCACATCCCAAGTGATTCTTTTCAGTTTTTTTATTACGTGACCTTTCCATGGAGCTTCACCCCACCCAGTGAATAACTTCCCTTCTTGAATCTCCTCCTTCTTGAAACTCTTCTCTCTTGGATTTCGAACTTGGATGACAGAGTGAGAAAGGCCTGGCATGTTTGCTCTGGACTGGGTAACCCAATGGAGCTATGTGGATTTTCTGCACAAATTTGGGATGTAAACACACCCAGTGGGGCTTCTGCCCAGAAGATTGTAGCTAGGCTGGGCTGGAGGTAGGGAAAGCAGGGAGGAGGCTACGTGTTGGTGGGAGGAGGCTGATAGAGCCTGAACCAGGGGAGGCAGTGAGCCTTAGGAGAGAGCAGGTAGATTCTAGATACTTAGGAGAGCCACTGTCACAGAGCTTTGTAAAGGGACTTTGGATGGAGTGGGCACTGGGGGAGGACAGAAAGGAAAATAGAGGCACTGAAGATGTGTCCAGGCTTCTCCGGGGGTAGTTAGTAATGCCATTGACCCAAGTCAACTGATGTATTTTTGTGTTTTTGCTGAGTTCTTCTTCGTTTTTGACTTTTCTTGGGTACATGAATTTCCAGAAGTACCTGTTCCAGGGGCAACTGACAACTGAGAGGGCTGTGAGGCATGGGAGGGCGGGTGGGGCACAGGCAGCTTCACTGGGCACCACCCCTCCAGCAGGAGTGGTTTCTTTATATGTACCAGGGATATTTCTGCATTGAACTCTAGACCATGTGGAACTTGGTTTTTAGCAGGCCAAATGCCAGGCATAATTTTCTAGATGGGCCAGATGCAACCACACTCAGGAACCATACTTCATTAAAGTGTGTGTGGACCCAGGTTCTCTTCCTTCACAATTTTGTGAGTACAAATGAGGTTGGACATTAACATCACGTATCTGAGAAGGCTGGGTCTCACTTAAAAAAAACAAAAGCATTTTTATTGAGATATAATTCACATCATAGATTTCACCCTTCTAAAGTTTATGGTTCAGTGGTTTTTGATATATTCATAGAATTGTGCAACCATCAGCACTTCAAATTTTTAGAACATTTTCACCACCCTTCTCTCCCTTCTCTCCCACAGAACTCTGTACTCATTAGAAGTCATGCCTTACTCTTTCCTGGCAACCTTGTTTCTACTTTTTGTCTCTACAGAATTGTCTATTCTGAGCATTTACTATAAATGGAACCATAAAACATGTGGCTTTTTGTGTCTGGCTTCTTATACTTAGCATAATGATTTAAAAGTTCACCTGTGTTGTAGCATGTATCAGCAATACATCATTCATTATGATTGCTGAATAATCCATTTTATGGATATATCACTTTTTGTTTGTCCATTCATTCATTGATGGATACTTGGGTTGTTTCCATTTTTTTGGCTATCATGAATAATGCTGGCATGAACATTTGCATACAAGTCTTTGTGTGGATATATATTTTATTTCTCTTGGAGAGACACCTGGGAGTGGAATTGCTAGGCTATTATGGTAACTGTATCTTTACATTAACCAATATTGAAGAACTGACACGTGGGCTGCATCTTTTTTCTGATCCCATCAGTGATGCATGAGAGTTCCAATTTCTCCACATCCTCACCAACACTGTTATTGTCTGTCTTTTTTATTTCAGTGCATATGAAGCGGTATGTCATTGTGGTTTTGATTTGTATTTCCTTAATGATTAATGGTGTTGAGTATCTTTCCATGTGTGTATCGGTCATTTGTGTATCCTCTTTGGAGAAATGTCTATTTAAATCATTTGCTTATTTTTAAATTGGGTTGTCCTTTTATTGTTGACTTGTAAGAGTTATTTATTCTGGACTCCAGTCCCTTATCAGATCTATGACTTGCAAATATCTTCTCCCATTTTGTGGCTGTCTTTTCACTTTCTTGATTGTGTGCTTTAAAGCACAAAAGATTTTTATTTTGAAGATGTGCAAGTTACATTTCTTTCTTTTATTGCCTGTGATTTCAGTATTTATCTAAGAAACCATTGCCTAATTTAAGGTATAAAGATTTATTCCCAGGTTTTCTCCTAAGAGTTCCATAGTTTTAACTCTTGCATGTAAGACTATGACCCATATTGAGTTAATTTTTGTATGTGGTTTGAAATAGGAGTCCAACTTCATTCTTTTGCAGGTGAATATCCAGTTGTCCCAGCACCACTTATTGAAAAGACTATTCATCTCCCATGTGATTGTCTAGGTTTGTCTAAATCAATTGGCCATAAAAGTAAGGATTTCTGTTCATAATTTAATAAAAATTTAGTTCTATTCCATTAAACTACGTGTCTAGCCTTTTCTAGTGCCATGCAGTCTTAATTACTATAGCTTTGCATTAAGTTCTGAAATTGGGAAACTTGAGACCTCCAATTTTGTTGTAAGATTGTTTCGGCTATTCTGGATCCCTTGCATTTTTATATGAATTGTAGGGTCAGTTTGTCAATTTCTACATAGAAGCCAGATGACATTTTTGAGAGGATAGTGTTGAATCTGTGCATCAATTTGGGAAATGTTGCCATCTTAATACTTAAGTCTTCTGATTCATGAAGATGGCATGTCTTTCCACTTATTTAGGCCTTCTTTAATTTCTTTCATGATATCTTATAATTTTTAGTGTGTAAGACTTGCATTTTCTTTGCTAGTGCCAAATGCTACTGATTAGAATTACACTGGAAACATCTTTCAGTTGCTATACCCTTTTCTGGCTTTTATTACTGTTTTTAATTGACACATAATAACTGTATATATTTATAGGATACAGTGTGATTATGAAGCCTTGCACCTATGTTGTTTATCTCAAGTATTTTTTCTTCTAGATGCTATTGTAAATTGTTTCCTTGATTTCATCTTCAAATTATTCGTCACTAGTATATAGAAAAACAATTGATTTTTTGTATATTGACCTTGTATCCTGCGACTTTACTGTACTTGTTTATGGGTTCTGAAAGCGTTTTTTACGGATTTTCCAGATAAGAGATCATACCATCTGTGAATAGAGAGCGTTTCATTTACTAACCATTATTCTTGCTAAATGAATCAATAAGTAAGAGCTGTGGGAGTAAGACATGCAGTCTAGACAGTCTCTAGAAGGTGGCCTTGAGAAGGCCAGCAGTGATCAGCAGTGGATGAGAACAGGTTTAGGACTCTGAGACTGGAGTGGGGTTGAGGCAGGGAAAGTGAGGAGGAATGATAGGCAGGTACAAGGTAGAATCGAGTGAGTGGTAGATCAGGAAATCCTAGACAACAGGTGCTGGTGGCTCAGTCATTTGTATTACCCTTTCAGCATGCTGGGTGCCTCTCCTGGAACACATTTAAAGGATCCAAAGGACTCCTTCTAGCAGTGCCATCGTAGCAGGAAAAAGATGTAAGTCTAAGCCATTCTTGTTGGCTTTATACAGCCAGGATTGGTTGTGAAGTAGGCAAAGGGCAGAAGAGAGAGAACTAACATTTATCATCTAGTATGTGCCAACATTTTGCATATATTGTTTAGTTTAACCCTTACAGTACTCCTACTTTTGCAAATGTGAATCTGGTGTTTTTGTGTAATATTCAGAAAATGCATGATATTTATGTAGTGGTAGCTGCCATCACACCGTAAGTCAGTTGCCCATTTCTCCATCCATGAGGCAGCCGTCCTCTCTATTATAAGGAGCTCATTTCTCAATTAGTTCTTTGAAAACTGAAAAGCATGTAGATCTAGAACAATATCCTGCATTAGTGATTCTTAACCAGGAGTGTGTTAGGAGAAAACTCCCCAGTAGTTTCTTGTATTTCTGCATATATGAGCAGGGCCACTGCACTTTTGTTCTAGTTGTCTTTTTATTTATTTTATTTTATTTGTTTATTTTTTGAGACGGAGTCTCGCTCTGTCACCAGGCTGCAGTGTAGTGGCACAATCTCTGCTCACTGCAACCTCTGCCTCCCAGATTCAAGCGATTCTCCTGTCTCAACCTTCCCAGTAACTGGGACTACAGGTGCACGCCACCATGCCCAGCTAATTTTTGTATTTTTAGTAGAGACGGGGTTTCACCATGTTGGCCAGGATGGTTTCAATCTCTTGATCTCGTGATCCACCCACCTCAGCCTCCCAAAGTGCTGGGATTACAGGCTTGAGCCACCACTCCCAGCAGCCCCTGCCCTTTTTTTTTAAGATGGAGTCTCACCCTGTCACTCAGGCTGGAGTGCAATGGTGCGATCTCAGCTCACTGCAACCTCCGCCTCCTGGGTTCAAGCAATTTTCTTGC